TGGCCAAATCGCAGAATTTTGCAGAATTATCTTTTATCACAGACGGAATTGGCTATTTATCACCGCAGAAAATCATCATCTCTGGACAAAACTAGCTTGATTATCACCCAATCCACAGCAGTTGATACAATCCTATACATTACATCTTCCTGCAAACCTTTCATATTATAAGTTCATTTATTAGAATTGTGCTGGATGGATGTCTGCAGTTGGATCGCATTCTGTGCAACTCCTTGATTGATGTCATCTTTTTTTCATCTCGGTGATTGTGATAATGATATTTCCTATCTTTATAATCCAATCAACAGGACCTTTGTCGTGGCTTCCTGAGATTTCATACTGAGGATAAACCTTTATTATACCTCCATATATCGACATTACACCAGAAATAATACAGGAAATATATTCACAATAGGTAGCCTCATTAGCACTAGTGATATATTGGGATGTCTTGTGCTGTCTCAAAAATTCACCTAAAATCAAATTTCAGATATCTTCTGACGTATCCTTAACATCTTCAACAAAAATAGGTAATTCATTATAATCATCTGCCTTCAAGCTGAAGAGTGTCTTCATCTTATTAAACCTCTATGAGGAGAATGGTTGTTAAGCTGTTATAGAAATATAAGATTAAAGCTATTAGTATCTGTTACGTAAATATCATAAAGAAATATAGCTAATATTAAACATTACTTACATATGTTCACAACAACTGAGAGGTCTACTTTGAATCTCTGAGACCAGATTATATATGCCAAGTCCTCATCATCAATCAAATGAATACATTCCTTTCCACTTTCATGATTTATGATAATATACTCATCTTCAGTTCCATCTGAAAAAGTAAAACAAGTTTGAAGCCTCATATTCAAAGCTGATAAAATTATTTGTCCACGAGTTACTGTTCACAAGAATTTTCTAACTTATGACAACCATATGTTGCAGTACAATATATCCCTTTCATTTTAATAGGATGTTATATGATGATATGTATGTGTTTATCAATTGGTTGAGAGGAAAAGTATTTGCTAATTTTTGGAAAGCAGTTTCAACTCTTCATCTTCAAGTTTCTCCTTAATAATTAATATTTATTTTTGTGTTAACAAGCTTAAGTTTTTTATTTTTTTCTTCAAGAGAAATGTTAACCTTCCATAGCCTAATATTATTAGAGAAAACGTTCTCAAACTTAGGGGGAAGCTCCTCCTTAATAACTTTCCTAAGCAACGCTATAATTTTTATTTGACTGATATCTATAACAACTTATCGTAAAGGTTTTCTCCTGCAACCAAACAACTGAGTGTAATAGTTGACATAATGCTTTTATAGAGATATTTGGCTTAGACAAAAAAATAGTGTTACATTCTAGAGTGAAATAAAATTTATTTCTATTTGGGAAAGAAAATACTGTGCATTAATATAGATTTTTATGTAGCATAAGCATTGCATCATCACACGTGATTCACTTTCTCAATGTACTAGTAAAATAAAACTTTATTTATAAATAAATCATTGTCAGAAATTGAATACATAAAAATTGCAACTATATTGCTACATTATATGAAAAAAATACTATTTATTCTTAGATTTTATGAGAATGTAAATTTGATCTGAAACAAGAAGCTTATCAAAATACTTAAAGATCTCTTCTGCTGATTCTATAGGTTTGTCTTTCTCAAAATCATTCATATAAAGGTTGAAGTTAGGGAAGAGAGCTTGGTAACCTTGATTTGCTAATAGAGTTTTAACAGCAAATTCAAGAATAGCGACTTTATCTTCCTTACAGGGTGAGATTATATAAGTTATTTTATTCTCTTTATCCTGAAGGTAACACTTAAGATTGATAATACTCTTGTAAGTCATTTTTGTTTTTTAAATACAAGAAACCATAGTGAAAAAACTCGTTTCCATATATACATAATTTTTGGTATATATATACCTTCTTTTGCATTATTTTTTTCTGAAAATATTTTTGCAAAAAAAGTTAGCTAAACTTTTACATATTACTATATGCTTTATATCTTACCAGGAAAAAGATAAGAAGATAAGAATAGTGATTAGCATTATTATATGATATCAAGGGTTCTATAAAAGCACATATAAATGGATTCTTCATACCTTTTCACATGCAGATCTATCAAAAAGACATATAGTTAGCTTTACACCTGACAATCTTAAAATTATGAGTCCCTCAACCCTTCATAATATATTCTTTTATTAATACTATTTACTTCTAGAGTAGATCTTGTATTGCGTATAGTCTTTCTTTCACATTCTCTCACATTTGTTTGAAAAAAAAATAAAAAACAAAGATTAATATATTTTTTTTGAATATATATGCAAAAATTAATATGTCACACAAGATCCTAATTGATGATTCCTATTTTTTTGTCACACAATCTGTGGTTCAGCAAAAAATTTTCTGGACTTACTCTGGACTAGTTAGATTAGTAAAATATTACCATTCTACTTGATTGGCTAGTATTCTTTTACCAGCTTTTGATATTAAGGTGAAAATAATACCTCAAGTCAGAGATTGAGTAGCTATAGATGTGTTAGATCAGGTTGTCAAAATACCTGAGATAGAACTGAATTTTGATTCTTAGCAATAGCATCCTATCTAAAATAATTATTAAATGCTATAATAAAATCAGAAGGCATTAAAGTTTTCACAAAATTCTCTACATAGATATTTAGATTTAGTTTATCTATAGCTTCTTTGCTAATTTTATAACACCCTCTCAGATTAAAATATTTTAAATTAAAATATAAACTAGCAATTTCTTTGATAGATATATCAGTAATTCGACAAAAGCTAAGATCGAGTTGTTAGAGTCTTAAGCAAAAGCAAATAATATTACAATTGATGTTTCAGAATATTCTATGTAATTAAAGATATTTAGATATTCTAATCTATGACATGAATTTGCAATTGCAGATAAACCTATATCATTTTTTGATTTAAATCCTCTACATAAAGCAGATATATTAAGATACTTCAAATTTGGGTATGATTTTGCTATTAGCTTTAGAATTTTATCTGTATAGTCTATACTTTTCTCAAAGTCTAAATGAATTACATTTGAAAATATATGCACAATGTCTTTGATTTTTTTATTTAAAAGTTAGTAGTGTGATATTTTAAGATAAGTTAATTTTGAGTTATAAATTGGTTTTTACCCTTCCCATAAGTGGTATACTACATTATATACTATTTTTAAAAATCTTTCCAATCAAGATTTATTCTCAATTTCATCTCCCTTTAGCTTAATGCATCTCTATAGAATAGGAATATTACATCTGTATCAAAGCTGACAAATATATAGAGAGATTAATCTATTACTAAGAAATGTAAAATCTGTTCTAATACTTCTACTATATTAAAAATACTTGATTGCGCTATAAATAATATATGCTGTATCTTTAAACAAAAAATAAAATTAATGATAAGCACTCAATTCCAGATATTCATATAGTTCGAGATAATCAAATATATCTATAACTCTATCCTATCTTTAATTCTTGATAGTGATAAGACCAGTTGTTCTATTATATGTGTGATCATATTTAGCCAGATTGCATAATAGTAAATACTGCGTAGGATTAGTAGTAAACTTACTTGCAATTTTATGCTAATTATTCTTTGATTTTTTAGCTATATTCCTCATGTGAACTATGTTTACTTTCAGAAGGATTTATATAATTTAATTAATCTGATTGGTATCTTTTACAGATAACTGAATATTTATTATATTAGAAAAAAATCTTACAATTATGTAAGTACTGTGATTTATCTCCTCTAAATTGCATATATGCATCATATTACTAATTTGGATCACTAGCATAAATTAGACTTTTGATATATCCTAAATTATTGTGGATTCAATCTACTATTCACTGAAATATATCTCCTGACTGATTTCATTCAAATTTCATTTCAATGAGACATAATGCATATTTATCTTCTTGAATATATTTTAATATGAGAATATAATCAACTGTTAAATCAAATTTACAGCCTTTTTTCTTATCCTAGCTTATATATTCAATAAGTTTTTCTTAAATAGACAGTCTCAATTCATGCTCTAGCTATCTTTTCTTTTTTGCCTCCTTAATCTTTTAGGTAATTTCAGAAGGTAATGGAAACGCTTTAACTCAGATGAGTTAGCTTAAATATTCTATACAACTAACTGCTAAATAAATTAAGTTATCCTATATCAGATTTTTATCAATAACTCAAATACGCTATAGTGACTTAAGAGTCATCTCCTAGCTAGTATAAATAATCATTGCATATCCAAATTCCCAATCTATAGCCTTTTCTTTTCCTAATATATCTTGTAAAAATTTATCAGAAAGTGTATTTAAGGGTAAGTGTATTATATCATTTTCACTAGCTTCTTTTTTTAGATGAGCCAGAGATCGAAATAAGATAATTTTATTTGTATTCATCTTTTAACCTATAAATTAATAGGATCAGCACATTGGGATATTTTTTTTAATGAAGTTCTAAGCATTTTTAAGAAGCAATTCTTTGGAAAAGTAGATGTACTAACAATATATGATCTAAAGGCTTCTATTTAGCTTCAAGATATTCCCATTTTTCTGTGACCAGAAGTGCTTCACAAAATAGGTCTGACTACACTCTGTTATTTTGACATCACATTTTTTCTTAAGCTCTTATAGTTTAGAGTATTTGGCCTGATAATCAGTTAAGACTTCTTCATAGTAATTAGCTTACTCTTTTAACCAGTCATAGAGTATTTATCCGAAGAATGGTAGAGGCTAAGCATCTTTTTCGTAATAAATTATCTGGCATTTCTGTTCTAACAAATAGTTAATAAATATTACAAGAATATGTCTAGGCATTATACACACTTCATTCCAGATAATGACTTGTGAGAATTTCTTTTCTTCTATATGTTTAGGAGTTCACTCTCCTATACCATTCTATCTAAAGAAATTATGCCAGATTTGAGCTTTTACCTTACAGTCATTTTAGAAGTTTTTAGCTAACGTATTTATATGAGTAAAGACTACCATATTTATATTTTTAAAGATTCAGATTACGCGTATTGTTTTTTCAGAACCACTACCTCTACTGAAATATAAAACTCAAGATCTTGTAATAGAATCATGAATTAATAGAGCAACACTTTCAGTAATATTTTTAATCGATTTCTAATGTCTATTTTTGGCTAGTAAACAATATTTGAGTCTAGGTCATGAATTTTCTCTCCTTTATCTCGCCATTAGCCAGGCTGTATTTCTCAAATCTTTTCCTCTTTTAATAGCTCAGACTCTTTGGTAACAACTTTACTAGATTAGGTATTTTTCCAAGGTCCTTGGCAAAAGTACTATTCCTCAAAACAAATAGCACATATGAATGGCTTATACTTGTTATACAGACCCCGCCAAAAGTCTCCGAACATCATCTTTTGGCTATTCATACCGAATACATCATATGACTATATAATACTACAGTCATGTAATGTACCTGACCTTTGTTTACTTGAATCAAAACCAAATAAAAGTGTATTTGATTTGTTTATTTTGATTTTTAACTAAAATAAAATTTACCTTCCGAAAACCACGAAAATATTCAAAGAACAACGTGGCGGTATATATTTTGCCGTTAACGTAGTGATAGTTACTGGGCTATTGTCGCAAATATTGGTTGTGGATTTTTAACAGCATTTAGAACTTTAAAAAGAATGGATGACACCAGAACCGTTAATTCGAGGCTTTATTCTGGTCGACCATCCTTAATTAAAGATTCGCAGTAAAGCCGAAGTGATTTGTCACAGCGAATTCAGGCTGTGATAAAGCAAATAAAAGCCTGACCAAGTACTAATTATTTAGTACCAAATGTGTAGTATATCGTACATTAATAAATAAATTAATAAATTTTTTTAATAAACTTTAAAATTTTAAGTTTTACATTGAGTCAAAAAGCGTTCAGAGATTTTTGGCGGGGTCTGTATAACAAATAACTCACTGTTCACAAAGTGAACTATTACTTCTTTAGTGAATTCTTTGACTGCTTCTTTTTTATAATAAGCTTTCACTTTACACATTACATAAGAAGAAATTTTATACAGACATTGAAACTTATTAGTATCTGCCTTCCCTTATCTAAGGACTGCGAAAGATCATCCTAAAATCTGTGATTAAGAGAGTATTTAGCTTGCTTAAAGAAGGCAGATACATTTTCAATCTTATATAAGGGCTCTCTTTATATATATATAGAATCTGTTGCGATTCTTACCATTTTATTAGGACCAAATCTTTAAAGCATTTTCAACAAGTTTATATGAATATAAGCTAACATTAAGACTTGCAAATGTGTATATTAAGACTAATAACCTTCGTAATATGTAAGTATATGTCCAAGTGAACATTTATCGCTACTTGCATATGTTTCCTCTTTAATACAATCCTGAATCAAGAAATCAAGTTTACCTTCATTTATTATAATCCAGTAGGTAAATGTTTTTTTCAATTTTATTTTCCTGTGTGAACTTTCCTATGATTACGCAACTTATATCTTGATTTTTAAGCAACCATACCTTTATTTGCTTAATAAGAGAAATAATAACTTCTCTTATAATTACACTTTCTAAGATGCCTACTTTAAGAAGATATTATAGAAATACAATAGGTGTCCATCCTTTTGTCTTCTCACATTCTTTTTCACTTCGACAGGCAAAATATTTTCTATACCAAATAGAAATTGCTAAATGAATATTAGAAATAAATTTGAAAGATCTTATCTGCATAAATCCTGTAATATCATCAGGTGGTAATTCTCCGTTTACTGCTATTTAGACAAG